ATCATTTGTCGCCAAAAAGCCATTCATTCGGAAATGAGAGCAAAACACACGTGACTCGCAATGCATCGACACTTCTCTGAGAGCGAGAGATTTGAATCTATTTATAAAATGACGTCATTTTCGCGTTCAATACCTAAATATGAAGTTTGGATTCAAAGTCTATTTTTAGCGCATTTTTGGTCCAAAATTATCACAAATTCTGAATTCATTTCACTTTTGGATTCGTTTTGAGAAGAAAACAATCTTTGAATCGGAAAATGGTTTGTTTTTCTCCGCTTTTCCCGACTTTTGTGTTAATTGTTGTGCGAATCAATAGTCAGACGACGCGAGAGCCAAGTTCGAGGACAAGGAGCGCAAGAAGGCGGAAATCCGACAGCGATTGGAGGCGCAGATGAAGTCCACGAAGAAGAAGGGCTTCATGACGCCCGAGCGCAAGAAGCGACTGCGGGTGAGTGCTGTGGCGGCAAAACCATGACTGAAATGCCGATTGATTGCAGCAACTGTTGCGCCGGAAAGCGGCCGACGAAGTGAAGCGCCAGCAGGAGCTCAAGGAGAAGGAGCGGCTGAAAGTGATCGGGGAAAGGACGGGAACTCCGAAGGCGGCCGCCGACGCCAACGAGGGTCAGTGAGAGTGGGCAGCGGTCAGTGACTAATGTTTGTTTGTGTCTTTAGCCACTCTGATGGCGATCTGCAAAGAGTACTACAACCGGATCTACAGACTCAACGAAGACAAGTGGGACCTGGAGCTGGTCACGTGCATCAAGGAGTACGAGGTGAGGGGTCAGTAAAGCTGGGGTCAGAGGTTAAGTAATTTTCTCTCATTCACAGATCAATGACTTGCAGTCGCGAGTGAACGACATGAGAGGCAAATTGTGAGTTGGATTAGTGTTGGGTTGGGATTAGGGATTAACGGATTATCTCTCATCATTAGTATAATCCCGCCGCTGAAGAAGGTGAGCAAATATCAGACGCAGTTGGAGAAGATGCGCCAGTGGACGTACAAGTTGGCGAAGATGGACCTGAAGGGCGGTCTGAAGCCGGTGAAGAAGGAGATCGACCTGGGCGGCACCGACGCCGCGAAGAAGC